CAATTGCACAGAGCCCCCCAATCAGAAGGGTGCCCCACAATGGGCGTTTAATGCTCTGCCATCACCATCTTGGAATTCTTAATAATTTTATTTTCGAATTTGTGTTTTGTAAGTGAAGTCTGATTGAACCATGGAGCCTCTGGTCACCTCCCCACCTCCCTCTCCCCAGGATGGGTTCTCAGCTGCCTGTTCCCCTGCCTCATCTCGTCCCAGGCAGGGGCCTCGATGCAGGCACAGGAAGCGTCGGGTTAGGGGGTATGCCAAGTCAAGAGGCAGGGCCCATGCTGCTGTGAGTATCTTCATGCCCAAGGGAGTACAACATAAAATAGTGAACAACAAACATGACAGATTGAGCAGGAAATCATGGAAGAAAGGAAAAGTTTTTTTCCTGCTTTTTGAACAAGGGGCCCTGCATTTTCATTTGTGCTGGGCTCCACAAATTATGGAGCTATGATTAGCACCATTTCACAAAAGTAGAAACTGAAGCGCAGAGAGGCTCAGTAATTTGCCCAACATCACAGCTGCCAAGTGGCAGAGCTCAGACATGGACTTATATCCCAGAGGAGAGAGGACTCGGAGATCTTAAAGAGCTTCAGCCCAGGAATTAGAAGCCCCGAATCTGACTTCTGACCACGACCCTGGGCAAGTTTGCCCCCAGTCTGTAGCTCAGTTTTGCCAAGTAAAAGTGCTCTGTGGAGTCTTCCAAGGTAGCACAGGGTCTCAAGATTTGGCTTTGCCACTTACACAGGATGGGATCTTGAGCACAAGAAATCATCTTTGCCCACCTTCCCCACAGAACTGCTAGGAGGATTCAGCAGGCTTCCCCTGCATGACCCTTCGCAGCATACAAAGCACTTTAATGCCACTCCCTCCCCTAAAAAGCACTGAGCAGACAGCTGGGCAAGGAATATTCTTCTTCTCACTTTACAGACAGGACAGTTGAAGCATCAGAACTGCAAAGTGACTTACCCAAGCTTTGACTAGGGTAACATGGCTCCACAGATGCAGGGTCATAATATGAACATCCCCAAATGAAAAGATGGGTCACAACCTTGGGCAGTCCCGGTGTGGGAGGGCAACATGGGCTTCTCAGTGTAGGAGCCCTTGCTCTGAGAGGGTTGGCTTCATCTCTGGCCTTAAGGGTCCCAGGTCTGAGGAAGGAAGCCAGAGAAGCACCCGAGAGCTCCTGAGAGAAGAGAAACACCTAGCCAGCAGTTTTCAAAGGGTGACTCAGCATCCAACGGGATGTTTACCCAATACAAGAAGGGTGTTATCTATTGATCAACAGACAAACAGGCAGACAGAGGGACTGAATGACAGATCCAGCAGAAGCAACCCCTTAGCTCTCAACTCCACTCCTCCAGCCTGCTCATCCATGACCAGCCCACTGCCCAGTCCTGGGAGAGGTCTCGACCTGCAGAGAGGGCAGGGTCTGGCTGACCAGAAGTCATTGCAGCTGGGTGACCCATCCTTGGCCCCGCCTCACTCCCCTGGGTTCCTCAGCCCCTGGTTTCCTTGGTGAGGATGTGACATCTACAACACCAGAGGGCCATGGGAAGCACTGTCCTGGGCCAGCCACCTCTCTTGCCGGGGCTTCTCATGACCACAGGATGTGTCTGTGAAATGGTTCCTGAAGTCAGGACTCTCCTGCCCATCCCAGACCTTCAGGGAGGCACTAGTGCAAAGTTGTCCAATAAAACTTCTTATAGTGATGGAAATGTTCTGTTCTGGCTGGCCCATAGCCCCTAGCCACATATGGGCTATGAAGCACAGTGGCCAGTGAGACTGAGGAACTAATTTAAACTTTTATTTAATATTAAGTTAAATGTAAATTTAAATTGTCACATGCGGCTAGCGGCTACCGTATTGGGCAGCACAGTCCTAGAAACAAAAAGAGACAATAAAAACAGAATAACTGCACCAAGATTTGGGGCTTCAAAAGCATTTTCACAAGCATCTTTTCTCTTGTCTGCCCTGTGAAATAGATGTTTATCCCCATTTTACAGAAGGGAAAACTGAAACTCAGAGAATTTAAATGGCTTCCATGCTGACAAAGCTAATAAGTATTAAAAGATGATTTAATCCCAGACCTCTTGATTCCAAAACTCCATTCATACCTCCATACAACTCCACCCACTTATGTAGACATCACATATTTATCAGATCATTATTACTAAGTGCCTACCTCTGGGCTAGACACAGAAAGACAAATAAGAGACAGGCCCAGGGTGCATATCCCTAGACAGTGTGACTGCCACAATAAGAACGTGGGTATAAAAATTACTCTAAGTGACTTTCTTCCAAGTAGCTCTAAGCACTTTGCTTTAAAGACCATCTACATCTGATGACTCTAAGATTTATATTTCAGACCCCAAACTCTACCCAGAACTCCAAATGGATATACCAAACAGCCCATTTGACTATTGAATTGGCTTCTCAACTTTGCCCCAAACCTACTCTTCCCCTCTCAGTAAATCGCAATTTCCTTCTGCTAGTTGTTCCACCCTAAAAGCCTGGAGTTATCCATTACTCCTCTTTTTTCCACACCTTTGATCTAATCCATCAGCAAATATTGTTAGCACTATCTTCAAAAAGCATCCAGAATGCTCACCGTCTCCACTCCTGCCACCCTAGTCTATCATCATCCTCTCTATCTTGACTGGAACAAACGGTTCCTCTGTCCCTCACTCTCTCCCAATTCTCTTTTCCACACCACAGCCAGAGCCATCTTTCTTTTTTTTTTTTTTTTTGTGAGGAGGACTAGCCCTGAGCTAACATCCGATGCCAATCCTCCCCTTTTTTCTTGAGGAAGACTGGCCCTGGGCTAACATCTGTGCCCATCTTCCTCTACGTTACATGGGATGCCGCCACAGCATGGCTTAACAAGCGGTGCGTCCGTGTACGGCCGGAATCCGAACCTGCAAACCCAGGGCCACCGCAGCAGAGCTCGCACACTTAACCACTGCACCAGCAGGCTGGCCCAGAGCCATCTGTCTAAAATCTAAGCCAGAGAATGTCTCCTCTCAGCTTAAAGCACCAGTGGTTTCCCCAAGTCCTCACGGTGGTCCACAAGGCCCTTCACAATCTGGCCCCTGATGCTAGTCTGACCTCACTTCCTGCTGCTCTCCTCCTCTTTGCTCTTCAGGTCCAGCCACACCAGGTCTTCCAGGTCACTCCTTCCTCAAGGCCATTGCACAACTCACTGCCTCACTTCCTCCCAGTCTCTAACCAAATGTCCCCTTATCACAGAAGCACTCCCCATCCCCTTATCAGGTTTCAATTTTCCTGATAGCACTTATCATCTCCGGACATTTGATACGCTTGCCTGTCGTTGCTCTCCTCCCACTAGAATATAAGCTGCAGGAAAACGGTTGGCAGACAAAATACAGGACACCCAGTTAAATTTGAATTGCAGATTTAAAGAAATGAATTAACTTTTCAGTATGAAGATGTCTCAGATGCTGCTTAGGATATACTTATACTAAAAAAATATTCGTTGTTGATCTGAAATTCAAACTTTACTGGGTATCCCCTATTTTTATTTGTTAAATCTGGCCACCCTACGCAGGAAGGCAGGGACAGTAGTTATTTTGTCCATTGCTGTATCCCCAGCCGTAGAACTGCTCCTGACACGGAGTAAACTCTCAATAAATATTTATGGCATGAATGAATGTGTTCAACCGGATCATTAATCTGTAACACGCCTAAAGTTTTAATAAACAGCTTGTGAGTCAGAGGGGCGCAGCACCCAGGCCAGGTTAAGGCCAGGTCACAACTGGAGGCCCGGACAGCTGACGAACTTTCCAAGCAGGTCGAGCAGCTGGCTGCTCCGCCTGCCCTCGCCCCCGCCCCTCGGAAAACGAAACTGCCCGGGCTCACGTGAGCGGCGCGGCTCAGCAGGCCTTCTGGAGGCGGTGCCTCCCCAACAGCCTCCCCTCCACCACCCGCGTCCCGGGTGTGACGTCACTCGTCAGGCGGCCAATGGGAGCGCGGCTTACTGGCAGGCGCCGCCGGCGGCCGCTGCCAACGGGGAAGTGAGCTGGGGCTGGAGCGATGGCCCGGGTCGGGAGCCCGCGGCCGGCGCAGCCGCCGCCGCCAGCGCGTCAGGAGCAGCCGCGGCCGCAGCCGGAGCGGGGGCCGGAGTCGCGGCTGGAGTGCAGGCGGCGTATGTGAGTTGCCGAGAGTCGCCCGTGCCGGAACACCTCCAACTCTGGGAGGGAGCGCTTCAGGTGGCTGAACCGCCGTCGCCCCTCCGCCCCTCGCCCCCCAGGCCCAGACAGAAGGGCTGGGGTCTCCCCAATCGCAGGACTGGCTCCTTTCAGGCCGAGCCCTCTGAGCCGGGCTCTGGTTCTTCTTCGGTCTCAAGCTACCTTCAAACTCAGGACGGAGGCCGGAGGACGGCGATCACCCCAGACCCGAGCATCTTCTCGGCGCCCAGGCTGTGTCGGGGTTGTAGCGACTGGGAGCCTCCCCCTAATGCCACCTCTCCAGCTAGGGAAGGACTAGCGCGTTCCCTGTCTTCGCTGTACACTTCCCTCTCTTCTCCCGTTCAAGAACAAGTTTCTTTTCCCTATCCATTGGAAATCCTGTCCGGGACGCCAAAACACTCATCTGTGTGTCCTTCCGCAGCTTCTGGAGCACGCTTAGAAATATTATCTACTTATCAAGGCTGAGAATCTCTCATTTTGACTTGGCTTCTTATCCCCTTCAGGAGACAAAGGTTGCCCCGGCTTAACACCCTCTTAACTGACACTCCATGCCCAGGACCATATCCATTTCGATCACCAGCTCCCTGGCCATCTCTCTGTGACTTCCCCTACCCATCTGAGTTCCAGTTTCCTCTGAGCTCCAATCTCCAGCCCCCAGCGGATCTGGTCAGTCCCACCCCTGGGTGGGAGTGACCGGTGGGCTCTGGCCCAGGATCCCCCACCCTGGAAGGCAGCTCCAAGGCAGCGAGAGAACTGGGCTTCGGGTACGAGCCTGGCAGCTCCGGAGTGGGTGCTCCACTCACCCCACACAAGAAGATGAAAAAGCGCAAGGAGCTCAATGCATTGATTGGCTTGGCTGGGGACAGCCGAAGAAAGAAGCCCAAGAAGGGCTCAGGCCACCGCCTGCTTCGCACTGAGCCTCCTGACTCAGACTCTGAGTCCAGCTCAGAGGAGGAAGAGGAATTCGGTGTAGCTGGAAATCGCTCCCGCTTTGTCAAGTAAGTGATGTGAAGAGCGGGGTGGGGAAAAGGCATCTCCTTGCACTACCAAGGGGGCAAATTGAACGGAAGGAGAAGGGAGTTCTTGGGAAGAAAAAAAAGTATAGACCTTGGAATGCAAAGAGGGAGAAAAGATGTTAGGGAGAAGATGAGTTCAGGTTCTGAGTGAAGGGTAAGTTAGAGCTCTGTCCCCAGCTGTACAAAGAAGAGCTCTGAATCTCAGGTGGAAATGTGCACTTCAGGAATGTGCCAAGAGCCCAGAGAGACCAAGTTGGGAGCAGCAAAGAAGCTAAGAATAGGGACATAGGAGCAGAAAACCTTTTGGAACTAGCCTTTTTTTAAAGTTTAAGAGATACAGAGACCTTAGGAACTGCAAATTATTTATTTTTTGCACTCTTGATGAGTCTGAATCTTGGTGATGGGAGAATATGGTGAGGGACATACTGTAGAAAGTATGTCCTTGAGAGTCATGGAGGGTGGGGGACAGAAAGAAGAGGCAACCTTTTCCCAAACCACTTTTAGGTGGTGCAACCACTAGACAAAGCCAGTAGTGAGCAATGAGGACATTGGGATTTGGGGCTCGAGGTGGGAAAGGGCTGAAGGGACCTTGAAGGTGCCCTTGGACCCTCTCAGGGAATACATTAAAAGAAAAGAGTATTCTGCTGAGGATGTAAAAGCAAGGTCTAGGCAGAAGGTTGGGGTGCTGAACAGCTTGAATCCTTTGTTTGAGGTTTGTTTGTTTAGAGTGTCTGTGTCCTTTATTTTGTTAAAGGAAGAGTTAGCTTCTAATGAGCTTTGCCAGATAGGTAGTTAAGGGCAATCCTAGTTGTGAAGATCTGATGAAGTGGAAGAGTTCCACTGGAATGGTCACCCTGTTGGGTTAAATAAAACCTTGAGTTGTGGTTGAAGTTTGCTGTGAAATCTAACACCTTTCTATGTTTCCTTTCTTCTGAGCCAGTAAAGCTAGAGGTCACCAGGTGTCCACTTCAAACCTACAATTCCTCTTTCTTTCATTGCATTTGCGCTAAAATTTGCTCAAAAGTTTATGCAGTTTCTGTAAACTGAAGCAAGGTCCCCTGCAGTGAGTATGTATCTGAGAGAGAGAAATAGATAGGTAAATCACAGTGCAGTGATGGAACTGCAGAGAAGCTGTGTTCCTTACCCTTTCCTAATCTGAGCTTGTTACCAAAGACCTGAACTGATGATGACGGCAGTGAGCTGCGGTGCCCACAGGTGCCTCCTGTGGCCAACAGGAGCTCCCTCTGTTTCACGTGAACTTTGAAACCTTTGAACCCAATAGATGAACCCTTCATAGGTCATATTACGTAGTCATTTTCAACATGCTTTTCGTATGTAAGTGTGTTCCCTGGAAAATCAACTGGTTATTCATTAGAGAAGATAATTGCCTGGCAACACATTTATGCTATTTCTAATAAAGCTGTACTCATAATCACGTTTGTATTCCTGGTTGACTTTGTTCTTATGACCAGGGGAGACTATTTACGATGCTGCAAGATTTGTTATCCGCTCTGTGCTTTTGTCATCCTTGCCGCCTGTGTCGTGGCCTGCGTTGGCTTGGTGTGGATGCAAGTTGCTCTGAAGGACGATCTGGATGCCCTCAAAGAAAAATTTAGAACAAGTAAGTGGTTGTCCATTTCAGAATATAATTTTGGATTCTTTTCCAATTTCTAGGACAAAATGGACCGTGCTGAATTCAGAGTTGCCCAGCAATGAAGCAATTACACATTTTTTCAGCATTTTTATGCTGTTTTTTAGCTGTCAGTTGGAATACGGTAACAGCTATTTGTTTTTAAACACACTAACAGCTATTTATTTTTAAGTGCACAAACAAAAAACAGTGCTTATGCACCGTCAGGACAAATAGCATCTGAAATAATGGCCCTGTAGTCAACGCTTAGGGTACAGAGGGGAAGCACTAAGGCCCAGGAGTTTAGAACCTTGGTTAACCTCTGCCTCTTGTCACTTGCCCCAAGTGTGTGAAGTGGCAATAGCAACGCTGGGCTCTTTCCTTCCTCTTCACAGGACCTTTTGAGAAAGAATGTGGGGGTGTCTGTCAAACAGTTTCCTCCTTGAAAACTATAGGAACATGGGAATGGGCAGTAATAATAATAGCCAGCATTTATGGAATGCTTACTGTGTACCATGTCACAAATAAATATTTGTCTCATGAGTGAGTTTTAAAGTTTGAGACTTTTTTTAAGTTGAAGAGTTTTATATATTCTAAATTATAAAGTTGTATTTTGCATGTCCAAAGTACTTTTTCTGAAAGGTGTGTTTGCATAGTAACTTCTACCAGATTTAACCTCACTGTTTTCCTTTAGCAACACAGATCTCTGGTTCTAGGTTTCAAGGGTTAATTTTCTTTTTTTTTTTTTTTGTGAGGAAGCTTGGCCATGAGCTTACATCCATTGCCAATCTGCCTCTTTTTGCTGAGGAAGATTGGCCCTGAGCTATCATCTGTGCCCATCTTCCTCTATTTTGTATATGGGATGCCTCCACAGCATGGCTTGATGAGTGGTGCGTAGGTCCGCGCCCAAGATCTGAACCTGCTAACCCCAGGCCACCAAAGCAGAGCACACGAACTTAACCACTATGCCACCAGGCCGGCCCCCAAGGGTTAATTTTCTAAGCTAAGGAACCACTTTAAGTTAATCCCAAATACCCTAACCTTAGCAGTATTAGCACACCAGGAAACTGACCACCAGGCTTTCTCAAGGTCGTAAAGAAATCTGCCCCCAGAACTGGAATTAGACTTGTTTCCTTACTTCTCATCTTAAGCCTTCGGAGATCACAACATCCTAGCTTTCCTTCACTCCAGCTTCTCTCGGCTGCCTGCAGTTATTCAAGTTCCAAACCTGACCTAGGGACAGCTAATCCTCCTTAGTGTGTTAATGACACTCCTAGTGATGTTAGTTGAAAAGAAATGTTGAAATACTAACTTTGGTTTTCTTCTGAGCTTCTGATTCGCGGAATGGGATTGGGTAAGCCATGAGTCTCTGCCAGAATCATCCTGACCTATATGTTTTATTAATTGATGAATCAGAGTTCAGTATAATAAAGAATGAGATTTACATTCTAGTTATTTTCCCTCTTTAATGGTTGTCCTTAGCAGTATTGCAAAGTGTTTTTAAGGCTAATGTTTTCTTTGTAAGCAGTAATCATAATTTGGAAATGAAGTTCTCAGAAACAGTGTTCAATTGTAAATAACCACTGAAGACACCCGTCTGTGCCATCATCTCTATATAATTAGTTGCGCTTTCTAGGTTTGTGCTACAGCTTGTTTTGATCACATATAGCAATTATTTATTTATACATTTCAAAACATTTCTCAGTTCTACCCTCCAGGGATTCCTTTCTCTAACTGCTCTGTGCCTGCATTTACAGGACACTCATGTAATTTATACCTTAGCTGAGCTTTTCAGGAAATTTCTTTGTTTAGAAATGCATATTTAAAATATATACATGTAATAGACCTGGAAAGCAATCAGTCAACAAATATTTATTGACCACTTGTTTTTTTTGTTTGGTTTTTTTGGGGGTTTTTTGTGAGGAAGATCAGCCCTGAGCTAACATCTGAAGCCAATCCTCCTCTGTTTTTTTTGTTTGTTTGTTTGTTTGTTTGCTGAGGAAGACTGGCCCTGGGCTAACAGCTGTGCCCATCTTCCTCTGCTTTACATGGGACGCTGCCACAGCATGGCTTGACAAGCGGTGCATCGGTGTGCGCCTGGGATCTGAACCTAAGAACCCCAGGCTGCCGAAGCGTGCGCTTAACTGCTGTGCCACCAGGCCGGCCCCTGACCACTTGTTAATACCAGTCCCTGGAAATACTGTCTTCAAGAGATGCCAGGAATTGTACCCTGGACTGTGAGAACTGCTTTCTATCAGTGAGCAGCATTCCCCTGAAACCCTGACTACATTTGTCAACCAGCAGAATGAGGCAGATTTAGAGTTGTCAGTCCAGCTGCTTTCTTGGCTTTGGTTTGCTACAGTAGAAATGCCAGCACCTATAATGTCTAAAGCAGGACTTCCTGAGGGAAGATGGGGGTGGGGCCTGGGGCATAGTCCATAGGCTGAACCATTGTGGACTACTTGCTCAAGAATTTTTTGTGAAAACCATTATCTTGACTAAATGAGGTCAGTCTTGTTAAGCTTAAATAGTCTTTCTTTGAATTATGCTTCTGCTTTGAATATATTTCAACAAGTTAATTTTTATTTCTTGCTTTTCAAGAGGACAGTGGAAGTCACTGATTCAAATAAGACCATCTGCTGATCTGGCAATAATTCTTTTTTAAGAAATTCAGAGCCCCTTGTTCTTTATTTCAATAAATTCTCCAAGTCACTGTGAGGAAAGCAGGCAGGATTGCTGAAATATGTGAAATAGAAAACAAAGCAGATAGGCTTGGTATTTTTCCTTGTGATCAAGAGTAACTTGATCCTTAAGCTAAAAGTACTGGCTGGCCTTGAAACTCTTAGCTCAGTATTCTTTTTCCAGAACCAGGTACTTCAAAAGACCTCCACAGTTATTCTAAGGAAGATTCTATTTCCAACCATCTATCTGTCACTCAACTATGAAATTCTAGAGTGAAGGAAAAGAATTTGGAAGAGAAGGAAAGTATTAATAAATCAGGCATCTCCTTTTCTGGTTATACAGGCAGAGTAGCAGTTGGGTCATTTAGTACAGAATTTAAAAGTGGTCTTCTGCTAATGATGACATTAGGACGTACATGTCCGTGACACCTGGAGGATGCTAGAAAGAGTGCTGGTCCTAGAAGCAGAAGGTTTGACTGTTAAATCCTGGCTTGCTCCTAGCTAGCTGTAAAACTTGGACAAGTCATTTATTCTTTCTGTGCCTTTGTTTTCCCATCCATAAAACATAAAGATGTATTTGTGCTACCAAAGCACTTAGGGCATTCCTCTGTCGTAACATCTGTCACACTGTATAGTGATTGTGTGACAATGCCTCGCTCCCCACTAGACTGAGCACTTCAGGGTCTTCTGTATGCACTAGTGCCAGCTGCAGGGCTGGGCACATGGTAGGGGTTCCCTAACAAGTGCAATAATTACATAAAAGTTTATTGCAAACTATAAATACGTGTAAATATAAAATACTGCTGTTGGCACCATGTTCTGTCTGAAGGGTGTATGCAGAAATCTCCATTTCCTTATCTTAAAGATAAGGAAAAGAGCTAAGTAAGTTCTTTTGAGTATTAATATGCTAAATTTTAAATGAGTTGCTTTCCATGTTGAAATAACGTGAATTAGTAATCCTACATTGTTTTGTTTGCTACACTTCCTCCCATTTATATAATCAAAGTGCATTTACTTGGCTTATCTCTCCTAAAAAGCCCCAATCAGGTAATGACTATGATCCCCGCTTGGTTCATACAATCCTCAGGATCCCAGAGTGTTTTCAGGGCTTATCAGCTTTATATGTTTATTAGTTAATAATTGTAACCCAAGTTGTTTATGTATTTGTCTTACTTCCTCTTCCATTTCTACCTTCTGCTTAATTCATATACACTGCAGGAAAGAGAGAGACGCTCCCTCCCCTTGGGATGTTTGACCCCCTGAGAATGGCAGACACGTGTGGGATAAGTTTTTCTTTACAACCTAACTGAAAATGTATAGGAAATTCAGTGAAATGCTAAGTGTAACATTAATTTAGACTGGTAAAATGTTCTTACTGAATGAGATGGATGTATTCCTGCAAACCACGTGTATATCAAATGTTACATTAAAAGCACTGAGGGAAGTCTACTATTTATAAAGAAATCCTTTGGCACATATATTAGCAAAGTGAATAAAAATATCTAATTTCTTTAAATAATGCTGAATTTTCAGATAGTGAGTTTGCTTGCAGTAAGGATGCCACTACCACCCCTGGTGGGGATTTTTTTTGTTGTTGAGTTTATTTATTTGTTGAGCTTTCTTTGTTTGACTTAATAGGTTAACATTAACTCCATTTCGTACCTTGAAGTCATTTCACTGGACAAGCGTTTGAATGCTTCTGTGTACCTGGCACTGTGCTGGGCCCTGGGAATACATAACCAAATAAGACCTGGTCCCTGTCCTCACGCAGCTGTCTGTCAGTCTGGTGGAGGAGACAGATGACTAACGCCTAATTACAGCACAGTGTGTTAAATGCTTGGTAAAGTTAGGAGTGGTAAAGAGGTGGCGGTGGTCCGAGGTGGCGGTGGTCCAAGGTTGGGGCTCAGCTATTTGTGCTGAGTCTTGAAAGGAATTAACTAGGCTAAGGTGGCAGAAATGTAAAGGGGTCAAGCCAAGGGCATCTAGGCAGAAAGAATAGCCTGTGCAGGGTCACTGAGGCTTAAAGAGGCTGATGTGTCAGGAAAATCCACTTGGCTAGAAAGTAGATTGAAGAGGTAGGTAAAGTGATGAGAAACGTGATTGGGAGGTAAGCAAGGGCCAGATTTATTCAGTCAGTAATACTGAGTGCCCAAAATGTGCCAAGTACGTTCTAAGTGCTGACCATACAGAAATGAACAAAAAAGTCTTGGAGCTTACATATTAGTAAATTGTTTTGTATCTGTCCTTTATGCCAGTTTTTGGTTTTAAAGAAAGCATATAACTAGTCAGGCAGTCTGTGGCTTTCAGAAAAATGATGTAGGTTTTATTCTGGAGGACCAGCCATTCTCAATATTTTATTTTCCATGAAAAAGAAAAATAGTCTTTAAAGAAAGAAGAGAAAGCACTCTTTCAGGCCTCTGCCTTCAAGCTATCAAATCTCCAAACCATTCAGGAGATATTGTTTCCCAAAGGAAAGGCCAGATATCGCCGTATACTTCACCCACATGTTCCTTTATCTTCTATTTCAATTTGAGCTTTTGGGTTGCTTTAAGATTTAAGAAAACACTGCTGTTTATGAAAAAGGTTAAAATCTTAGTTTTCATAACAGTACTTGAAAGGTGGTAGGAACCCACCTTGCATTTGACCAATTTGAGATAGAGAGAAATAGATATAAGCATTTAGAAATATAACTTATGATGTCACCTTGAGTATCAATGGAGTAAGATTTATAAATGTTCATTGACTAATCGAAAAGCTCCTTAATTGAGCTGGTCAATACTTAACATTTATTTATCACTTATTGTATGCCCGGCCAGGTGTGTTTAGTACTTTACAGCCGTTCTTTCACTTAATTCTAAAAATCCTGTAAACTATAGTTAACTCTGTATTACAGATGAGGAAACTGAGCTCAAAGAATTTGAGTAATTTGCTCAAGATCACAGTAAGTTACAGAGTTGAGATTCAAATCCAGCTTTCCGCTGATATTCTTTATCATTTTTAGCCATCTGACTTTTAAAAGTTGTATTGCCAGTAGTGAAATAGCTCCAGTTAAAATAGAGCTTAGGTGTTAAAGATACATACTTCTAAATAAAAGAACAGTGTAGTTGATTGATATGAATTCAGTCACTATCCTCCCAGAATTAACTTTTATTACTCTGTCTTCCTGCCTACTGCATGATCATTTTTTCATCTTGGAGCCATGAGGGAACTTTATGGCTATTTATGATTGTTCTTTTTTTTGCCTTTAGTGGAATCTAATCAGAAAAGCTCCTTCCAAGAAATTCCCAAACTTAATGAAGAGCTACTCAGCAAACAAAAACAACTTGAGAAGGTTGAATCTGGAGAGCTGGGCTTGAACAGAGTCTGGATAAACATCACAGAAATGAATAAGCAGGTAGCAAAAGTGTGATTTTACTTCTGTGTAAGCTATGAATATTTAGTTTTGTTTGTTTAGTATGAATTTGTAGTTGTAGGGAACTCACTTCAGATTGTTTTACTTTTTGAAATGGTGTTTTGCATAGTGTGATCCCAACACGTTAAAATCAGATAAAATTAAGATGATAGTTATACACTGACCAAATATTTAAAATGTTAACCTTTTCTGCAAAGGAACAATTTTACCAAGTAGAATAGTTTAGAAGAAGTTGGAAGTTCTTGAGTAAACTCTCCCTAAGGAGCAATGTATGTATCAAATAAAAAGTGTCATCTAACCCCCAAGAAAGATGGATAGTTTATTTCTATTAGGTAATGAGAGCTTATTCTGTTTAGTAGTTTACAAACTCACAGACTCAGCCTTGAGGTGTACTACTATACATTATACTAAAACAAATCTGGAAACCATCAACAGCTAATGATAGTTATTCTAGAATAGGGTAGGAGGAGGTGACAGAGTTGGTTAAATACCTTGGCGAGGCAAGCAAGCCTAGAGCAAAAACTTTTCCAGTCCTTAAATTAGCCAGAGCTCAGTAATTATTGATTCCAAAAGAGGGAATCTGCCAGAGGGCAAGGGCTTATTTAAAGGATGTTAAGTCAAGCATCTTATATGTATAAGGTGCTGTGTTGCCACTGGGTAACTATAGCTGCTGTCCTCAGTTTTTGCAGTTTAGTAGAAAAGACGTGCATTGAAAAGAAAACTCAAGTACCAAAATGAATGGTACACTTGCATAGGGCTTAAAAATAGATATGCCTTCCTTGTTGGGGCTAAGGGGATGTTCTCTTCTTCGGAAGGGAGTCACGAAGTTCAGAATCAGCCAGTGGCAGGGAGCACTGTGCTAGAATCAAGTGCTTACATGTAGTTCTGAAGCTACCTCTACCTTCCAGCAGTGGTGCAGGAGTGGGGCAGTTCAGCACTTAAGAGGAGAGATCAATGGCTGGGGGCAGTGGCTTTCAAATTTTTGCCTGGAATCTACAATAAGAAATGTTTTACATCGTTACCCAATAAACACATACATATATATGTGTAACTGAAATAAAAGTTTCTGAAAACAATAGCTTATCCTTAGTATTATGATGCCTTTTGATATTTTCTATTCAGTTCTATTCATTGTTTTAAATTATTCATGAAATAATTGACGGATTGTAGCACCTAGTATTTACTCATTATCATTTATCTTTGGACTCTCAGTAATTAGGGAAGAGCAAGTATTCACTCCTTTTTGCAAAAAGAATATGATGAACTGTGGCCTTTCTTGTATTCACAGAGCAAATGAGCAGTTTGGCCAGAGATTACATCAGTGAAAATAGATCACAGTGAAACACTGAGAGATAATTAGCATCTCTCACTGGGGCAGACTGTGGATTCCATTTAAATAGTCAGGGAGTTTACCGTTCTGAGGCAAGGATGAGATCTTTCAGGATGAAGAGGCAATGTCACCTGTTTCCCATCTCCTTGTAAATCAGCGTTATGGGAAGAGTCAAAGGGTAAATTGGTACTTGATATGAGAGGACACACAGGTTTTCAAATCTTTGCTACATATTTTGGTTTGAGTTCTCTTTAACCAGGAATCTGGAAACAAACGAATCATTTTTTTCTTGGCCTGGCTGTTATTTTAATGCAAGAAGTATCTGGGAAAGCAGCTATACAGGAAAGTTTGCTTCAGTGCTAAGGTTTCATATATAAACTGGGAGAGATTGAACTGAAACTCTTTCCACTTTAGCTTCAGTAGATCTTCAGAGATGATGGAACTGATTGATGATACCAGCCTGATGCTGAGGCATTCTGTGCTGGTGTGGGCACAGAAGGACGGGTGGTGGTGAAGTAGAACTTTATGTTGGTCCAAAGGGAGCTCATCACTCTGTCGGAGTGATTTTCTAAAATTAACATTACACACCTCTGATGGTCTGTTAAGAGGCATTTGTCCTAAACCAAACTAGGTATAAAAATAAATACTTAACCATGTTTCTGTATCTAAGGGAAACTGTCAATTAAGATGCTTTTAGTGGCAAATTTTTGTCAAAAAAAAGCAATTCAGAGTGGCCTAAACAAGAAGATGTATTGTATCACTTAACAAGAACTGTCCTTATCACAAGGTGAGTTGAAGTTAATGCAGCCTGGAAAAAAAACCATTAGTTTGAAATAAGTTAAATCAAATTTCACATTGAAAATCTTTAAACTAATAGTTAAAATCTCTTTGGCTTTTCTCTTTTTTTCATGAAACCTCTGATTTCATACCCCTACCCATTCTTGACCATTATAGGGATTCTCCTCCCCCTTCTTTGAAAACCATTAACTCAACAAATGTTTAATGAGCTGCTTTTATGGAGTTAGGCCCTGGATTCAAAATCAAAGAAGATGTGATTCCTCCTCAAGGCTCTTACAGTCAAATGGAGGAGATAGAAAAGTAAACAATTGTAAAACAGCCTGATGAGCAATAAGAAGCAGGTCCATGTGGAATATAAACTAACACACGGACAGAGAGAGCAGTTTGGTGGTTACCAGGGGGAAGCGAGTTGGGGCGTGGACACAAGGGGTGAAGGGGTGCATTTATATGGTGACTGACAAATAATAATGTACAACTGGAATCTCACAATGTTATAAACTATTATGACATCAATAAAAAAAAATCACACATTAAAAAAAAGAAGAAGAAGAAGTAGGTCCATGTGAGCACCACAGGGGCATTTTTAAGTATGTACGTGGGGGCCGGCCTGGTGGCATAGCGGTTAAGTGCGCGCACTCTGCTTCCGCGGCTCTGGGTTCGCAGGTTCGGATCCCAGGCGTGCACCAATGCGCCACTTGTTAAGCCATGCTCTGGTGGCGTCCCATATAAAGTAGAGGAAGATGGGCACTGATGTTAGCCCAGGGCCAATCTTCCTCAGCAAAAAGAGGAGGATTGGCATCGGATGTTAGCTCAAGGCTAGTCTTCCTCAAAAAAAAAAAAAAAAAGTATATATCTAACCCATCAAGGCTTCTCAGATATCTTGAGCTGAGTCCTGAAGGGCAAACAGGATAGGCCAGGTGAATTCTGCAGAAGGAGAGAAGGTGTTCTAGGTAAAACATTAGTACAGTTGATCCTCATCATTTGCAGATTCTATGTTTGCGAATTCACCTACTCACTAAAATTTGTTTGTAACCCCAAAATCGATACTTGTAGCACTTTCCAAGTCATTCACTGACGGGGTACGGTGGCGAAAAATTTGAGTCACCCAACAGGAACATTTCTAGTTGAGGTGAAACAATGCAACACCCTGCCTTGTTTCAGCTCTCATACTGTAAACGGGTTTCCTTTTCACGATATGTTTAGTTCCATGTTTCCCACTTTTGTTCTTTTTGTTGGTGAATTCACTGTGTAAAATGTCCCCCTAGCATAGTGCTGAATGAGCTACTATCTGGTATTCCTAAGTGCAAGAAGGCCGTGATGTGCCTTACAGAGAAAATACATGTGTTAGATAAACTTTATTCAGGCATGAGTTCAGCAATATATATTCAATAAGATATCTTTAAACAGAGACAGACATAAAACAAGATTATGTATTAACTGATCAGTTAACAAAAATGTTGTGGCCAAAGAGCTCTCAGGAACGTAACCCTGTACTTCCCTTAGGAGCAATGGTTTAGGATTCACTGATTCAGTGTTTGCTGCGACTTTCTAGAACATAACTACTATGAGTAGTGAGAGTTGACTGTATGTGCAAAAGCATAGACAAATGAAAAACACGTGTTCAGGGCATTTTAGTAATTCATTATAGCTAGAGTTTGTTGGAAAGAGGCCAGAAGTAAGGATATATCAGCAAGAGCCATTTCAAGAGGGACTTTGAGTGCCCTTCTCCTACAGTCCACTCTGTATCTCTTGTTTGGCACTTGGTCTGGATACCTTATGTGATAGTTATTTGTGTGTGCATCTAATTACACTAGAAGGTTGTACACTGTACTCTGAGCTTTAAGCTTGATGGTGGCAACAATGATGATGATGATGGCAATTAAGATGATAACTGCCATTCATTAAATGCAGGCCATTCTTTGTGCAGGCCACTATTAGATACACTACATGTGAGATCTCCTTTTTTGCTTCTATAGTCCTATGAAGTAGGAGATGGTATCCCATTTTACAGATAGAAAAACTGAGGCTCAAAGAGGTTAAGTAGTTTGCCCAAGGTCACACAGCTGTGTAGCAGTGCTAGCATTAACAAGTTCTGGGGCCTGGTTTTCTTTTCAATTTTCCATTCTGCCTTCCATCTTTATAGCCTCTATAGGATGCATTATGTGCTCAGTAGATAAATTTGAAAGGATGTGATGTCAGGGTTCTACTAGGGCTCATCATCATTCACCATTGATGAGTGTCTGTTTTAGTAACTTTTTTACTTACTATTTAAAGAAGACTTAATTTAACGCCAAAGCAAAAAAGCAGCATTTCAGACTTTATAGTGTAAAACGGTCTAATAAGCAAATGGTCTACAGTAGCTATTTTTAATTTTGCTAATGAAAAGTCATGTAATATGCATAAAAGTCATGACTCATCTTTTGGCTGGAATCTGGGGTTTTTTCATAATAGTTTCTACTTAATTCAAATTTTTAGACTCTTTGAATTGCAGTGTGTGACTTTTAGAGGTAAGTCCTGTAATGCTTGAATCCAATCTGACATTCTAGAATGTGTCTATCAGAGACCAGAGCAGTCCCAGAGATAGTAGTGGGAGAGTGCCCCTCGTCTCTCCATTCTAGTTACACTTGTATCTTGGCTGTAGTTTTCCACAGATTTTGGCATTATTCCATTCCTAAGAGAAGCATGCTGAAAGATGGAATCCAGCTTTGCAGTTTATGGGAATGTAGGTGAGTCCTAGTGACTAGTGTGCAGTCCAGGTCTTAGCAGTGACTAAGTCCTGAGTAATGTTTGGTAATTAGAGAGTTAATGGTCAGCTCTCCAGAGTGTACTCTTTCAGTCAGGCAGCTGATACCCT